GAGAGAGAGAGAATATAGAGAGACAGAACGACAGAGAGAGGATCTTTGGCTTTGTATACTGCAGTAAAGGCCGTCAGTGGCTTTGCTTGTGAACAGTGGGACCCAACCATAATATCGCGCTGCAGATTTGTTGGCTTATATAAAGCCTGCCAGGCTGCTGGACTGCGAGCCAACACATTTTGCACAAGACTGGCAAAGTGCGGTGAACAACGGGGCTGTGATCCTCAACCTGACACCCCTAGCCCCGCTATCTGGCTAACACCATTGCACGAGCACCTCCAGGTATTACAGGCACGAAGGGCTCCATCAGCTCAGAAGTCTAGAGTTCGCAGATTGAGGCGTAGCAGCCATAACCTCAAACCCTACCAACACAATACGGACCCCTTCCTTACAGTGTAAACCTCTTTAAAACGAGTAGGTGCTTGAAACCACGGGTAGGTTACAAGGTTGGGGAGTTGGGGCCCAAGCAGGAATGAGTAGGCTTCATGGAGTCTAGGTGTTTTAGGGTTTAGGGTTTAGGGTTTAGGGTGTAGGTCTAGGGCTTACTCGTGAAGGCTTCGGGTTCAAGTTTTCGGGTAACGCAAAACCCCGCACAAGATCTCGACAATCCCTGTGCCTCCTTGACTGTAAGGTGTATATCTCAAAAAGCTAGGTAGGTCATTGGAAACTGCCAACATGCCCCAAAACCCGAAGGCTCCTGTCATATCACCCCTCCGTCCAAATAAACCCTCCTAGCCACCAAGTAAATCTGCAAAAATCACGACACGTCCTTTATAAGCATCTACGTACTTAGACTCCTAACAACCCCTCTTCAAACTATGAGCCCTACAGAAGATCAGGGTCCTAAAGAATTACCAATACTATTTTGGGGGTTCCTTATTATAAGTATAGTATAATGGGCCCCAAACCCTATTCTAACTATTAAGGCCTCTATGTTATACCCTCAAGAAGTTCCTTCCATGGGCCCCGACGGCCGAGTTGGGCCCTGAGCCTGCAATGGGCGTGTAGGAGAGAAGTCGGCAACCTGGCGGCCCAAAAAAAGGTTCAGAAATTAGGGCTTAAAGTTAGGGGTTTAGGTTTTAAGGTTTAGGTTGGAAGGACCCGGTCCCCAAAATTTTGGGCCTTAGGGGCACTGGGGTGTTTTGGGTTGAGGAGTTTCCCCTAGCCTGACCTCCTGAACCCTAACACCACCTGAACCCTGAACCCTAAACCCCTATAAACCCTAAGCCCCGAAACCCCTTAGACCTAAGTGTGGGGACCCGGATCGATCCTCACAGTTGAGGGGTTTACGCCTTCACGCTCGGGCAAGCCAGAAGAGAGGTCGGCCAGGTCGGAATAAGAGCATGCAAGGACTGAGCAGTGAGGCAAGACAAGTTCACGTTAAACTCTAAACCCTGCAAACCCTGCAAACCCTAAACCCTCAAGGCGAAGGGAAGAAATGTAAGGCATCAAGGTGTTGGTTTTTGACACTCAGACTTGGATGAACAGGGATCAGGGCTCTAAGGTTAGGGGGGGTTATTGAGCTCCTCCGTTTGGCACTCTATAAACAGTGTTGGTATTTGAAAGCGGCTTGGAACTTAACCGCGGTTGAGGACTTACTCTGCAGGTTGAGGGCAGGTCCTGCGCGCCACCCGTTCTCGTGTGGCCGGCTGAATGGACCCTGAAACAAGGCTTTAGGATTTACTACATTCGAGCCTCCATTGTAGTGGCAGCCGTAAGCAAAAGTGCTTTCAAGCTGATACCTCAGGTAGGGCAGTGCACCAACCTCCCTACTGTACACCGATGTAGCCTGCATACAGCCATATGGCAAAGTCGAGCCAGAAGCCCTAACCACATACTCTGACAGGCAACGTGGCATGAGAGCAGAACGACAAGTTTGAGAGTATGACAACCGACCGTAGACAGCGACACCGCCTGCCAATGTCGACGAGGGCCCCGCTCCATAATTCCGGGCTGCGCCTCGCGCATCATCGCCTCAGCTTTACATTCGCTTTGAACCGAAAACCCCATGAACCCAGTTAGAAGTGTAGAAATTCCGGCATGGTTATAGCAAGAAGACGTGCCCGCACTTTTCCAGAATGTGGAAAGGCTGTAGCTTTCGGTAACGAATGTGCCGTATGCTATGCACCAACACTAGCATGAACTTAATAGGTGAAACATCTCGAGTATATCTGATATGAAGTCGCAGATTAAGGTTTTTAAGTTTTATCCTATGTGACCAGGTTCTGTGGTTTTAACCCCCGAACCTTGCGAGCTCTTCAGAATCCAGGGTTGTCTTCAATCCGGGGTCCAGGCCATATGCGCATCAGAAGAAATCCGGTTCACGTACCGGAGAAGCCTGCTGCGAGGGCCTACGAGTCTGTGGTACTCCAGATCTCGGAAGCAAGTCTCAAGTAAGACCAACCCTAATCGCCTTCCTGGGTCCTAGGCTCAGATGCCTTACCTTACAAGGCCGGCTACGAGGATGCAGGGCGGCCTGATCTCCTCTGCGTTCTTGCGGGCCTGGGCCAAAAAGCCATGGACACGTCAACACTTAGGGGCTGAGTACCCTAGCCCAAAAAAAGTTAACCTTTTCAAGTAAAAAAGGATTATATAAACCCCCATAAAGTTAAAGGATACCTACTCAGCCACGAAGAACAAGTGGAAAGGAGCTTCCAGGGTCAAGGAACAAAACACCCCAAGCCCTCCAATCTTCGTGCTTCGATCTCCGAGAAGTTGCACCAAGGAGGCCCGAGCTCTTCGTCCTGAAAACTCGGGGCGAGACTTTTGGGACAACCCAGAGGACGATTTGCGGCAGTTCAGAAATATTTCGGACGCTTGGAAAAGCCTGGTCGGTAACGAACGCGGCTGGATCAGAAAACAATTATTGGCCGGTTACTTTCCCGGAAGCTGCGAAGCCGTCGTTAGATGTCGAGGCATGAGAGACCGACCGAAACCCCAAACCCACGCCAGGACCCTCCAAACCACGAACGAACGTGTCCAAAACTCGAAGCCCCTCGAAGTTACCCTGTATCTCTGAACTCTAAAACCCTTTGTTACACAGGCTTGATTGGAGCTCGCCCGCTGTCGAGATAGGGCCCTGGCTCTGCATTCGTAGACCACCTCGGAGCACAATCATGGTTACACCATGCATATATACATAATAAATAAATAAATATGTATACATATATATATATATACAGGTGCATATACATATACATATACATATGCATATACATATGCATATACATATGCATACATACATATAGCTTGAATCGGCCTTATAGGAGTATTGCGATGCTGTAGGGCTAGGGGCATGAGGACTCTCTACAATTCAGGCAATGAAGGCCTTCATGTCTTCTTCGGGCCCTCTTTAAGGCGAGGTTGCAACAAGCTTCCGACTTGTCTAAGCATCTGTCCTGGGAGGCTGAACCCAGACGCGCCCTAGCCCCTGAGCCCATTTCCACCCCATCCCGACATGTTGAGAGATCCTGGCCCCCCTTCGGGCTGGCAGTGTACATGCCATGCTTGCTTCGAATCCCAGAGTCTCTGAGCAGGACTAACCTCGGGCGGTTAGTATCTTGTCCTCACCTTCCTGACGCTTGGCCAAGCAACGCTAGTACCCGAGGCCACCACCTCTGAGCCTGAGCCCCAAGCCCAACTCGATACTTCTGACAACGAACCAGCACAGAAAGTACAAACATTACCTTTCGAGAGATATTACACGTAGCTAATACGGTACAAGATGACCTATCACTCTTCAGAATCTCGCACTGCAACTCCCAGAGCGTGTTGTGATTTTCCAGTCTCCTTAGCCTCCCGTTTGGAGCCCGCGCTCTGTTTTGCCGAAATTCCAGAGCCCCAAGCGCTAAAACCTCATGGGCCATAAATCCTAAATAACCTCTAGAGCGCTGAACCGTAAACCCTCAACCCTGGATGACCCTTAGAGCCCTAAACCCTAAACAACCCCTAGAGTCCTAAACCCCAGAATCTTATCCATATTATTCCTTGGGGTCCTGGTTATAATTATAAGAAAAATGGCCCCAAAAACCTGACTTCTTATTATCTTATGAACCTTGTTTCACTTGTAGTATGATGGCCCCCAGATCTTGAATGAACCTTGCAGGCCTTGTTATAATTATAGCATAATGGGCCCCAGAACCTTAATTCTAATTATCTTATGAACCCTATACCCTAAAAAAAACCCTAGAGCCCTAAACCCTAAACAACCCTGTAGAGCCCTAAACCCGAGAATATTATCTATATTATTCCTTCGGGGTCCTTGATATAATTATAGCACAAATGGTCCCCAAAACCTTACTTCTAATTATCTTATGAACCTTATGAACTTTGTTATACTTGTAGTATAATGGTCCCAGATCTTGAATGAACCTTGCAGGCCTTGTTATAATTTTAGCATACTGGGCCCCAAAACCTTAATTCTAATTATCTTATGAACCCTCAACCCTAAAAAACCGTAGAGCCCTAAACCCTAAAACAACCCCTAGAGGCCTAAACCCCTGAATCTTAAATGAGCCTTGCTATAATTATAGCATAATGGGCCCCAAAACCATAATTCTAATTATCTTATACCCTAAACCCTAAACCCCTGGCCCCCTGAACAACCCCTTGAGCCCTAAACCCCTGAATCTCAAATGAACCTATAGCATAATAATAATAATGGGCCCCAAAACCTTAATTCTAACTATCTTATGAACCCTCAACCCTAAACAAGCCCCAGAGCCCTCAACTCTAAACAAGCCCTAGAGCCCTAAACCCTAAACAACCCCTAGAGCCCTAAACCCCAGAATCTGAAATGAACCTTGCAGGCATCCCCTTATCTTATGAACCTTGCAGGCCCTAAGCCCTAAACCCCTAACCCCTAAACCCCTAAACCCTTAACCCCCAAACCCCTAAACCCTAAACCCTAAGCCCTAAACCCCTTTGCAACTGGCTTGCAACGTCACGCCAGGACAGCAGGGCTAAACCCTAAACCCTAAGAAAGCCGGGCCCGGCACGGCGTGCAGTGCTGCGGTGTCCACCTCGTAGGCGTCAAGGCCCTCGAACTTCGCGGGGGCGACCTTCCAGTCACTTAGCTTTCTTGGGGTTTAGGGTTTAGGGTTTTTTGGGGGTCTTTGGGGTTCGAGGGTTCTTTAAGAAGTTAGGTTTATGGTTTAGGGTTTAGGGTTTTTTGGGGGCCTTTGGGCCCTGAGGGTTCGTTGAGAAGTTAGGTTTATGGCTTGGGGTTTAGCTTTTTGGGGTCTTTGGGCCCCGAGGGTTCTGCAAGAAGTATTCGGTTATGTTTATGGCTTGGGGCTTCGACTCACTCGCCTCAGGCAGGCATGGCCTCACGTCGTTCGAGCTTGCTACCCTTAAACAGCTGACACATGCTACTCACCCGACGGCTTGGGGTTTAGGTTCGGGGTTTTGGGGTTTAGGGTCTTTTGGGAAGAGGCTCTTGGTACACTTCTGAGGTGTATGGTCCAGAGCATCTTGTAGGACATGTGGATGGGCGGAACTTGAGTTTCTGGCCTGCTGATCTCGTGGGCAAGGCGACTTGTTCAGCTGTTTTTTAGGTCAGGAAAGTGCCAGGTCGGCAAGGCTGAGAGATGTCGCGCTTGCTGTTTCCAGAATGAACGCCGCCCTGAGTACCCCAAGCTTCAAAAATCACGGTAAACCCAAAGCCTCCTTGAACTCGCAGAATCCGTGAAGCTCTCCAGCAACGGGCACTGACTTCGACTTACACTTTGATGGCCCCGGATGTGAGCTTCTTGAAACAGTCGGATGCCAGGAGGACTTATGGACGCTATGTAGCCTGG